ATTTAGATGGACATTCTTAAAGACCTGGACTGGATCCCTCCCAAAAGGAAAACAAAGAAAAAATACGGAAACATTTCCAAAAATAGCTGATTTTAGTGACTGACGGGTTGGTTACCAAAAGAAAGGGGAGAGGACATTTTAAATGTTTTTCAGGTTCCTCGACTGGGGGATAAAGAGACGTGGATAAGGAGAATGAAGGGAACCAGAAGGTTGAGAAGGATGGAGACTGAGGGAGGGATATTAGACTTGACAATAAATAACATTATTGGAACTTTTTGAGAAATAAAGTTATGAATGGTGCGAGTAAAAAGTATCCTAGCAGTTTTGGGGCGCCTGGGTGGCTTAGTCGGTTAAGCGTCCAACTTTCGCTTAGGTCATGATCTCGCGGTTCGTGGGTTCGAGCCCCGCGTCGGGCTCTGTGCTGACTGCCAGCTCGGAGCCTGGAGCCTATTTCGGAGTCTGTGACTCCCTCTCTCTCTGACCCTCCCCTACTCACGCTGTCTTTCTCTCTCTCTCTCTCCTAGAAATAAATAAAACATTTTAAAAAAATATCCCAGCAGTTTAGATTCTTAGAGACCAAAGGAGTAAGTTCTCTCGTGTTTCAGAGGCAAGGCAGCAGTTATGCGGTAGGTGAAGATGGTGAACTTTCTTTCTCCCGCCTGTCTCCCACAGGACAGGTCTGTGAATTCTTGTTGAAGAAACGAAAGTTTCGTAATTTATTTCAGAATGTCATCATTTTCCTTCATCAGTGTATAGTAGAGAGAAGACCTACCTACAAAGAACAATCCAAGTAGCCTTCTTAGGGCAAGACAAGGAAATTAAGAAGGGACTGAAAATATTTTATTTTCAGCTATGAGAATCGCTGCTTAAGACAAGAGTCTGATCTATGATTTAAATGGTTGTGCTATTGTTATTTGAAACATGCTTTTTATTCTCTGAAAAGATTTATGTTTCCTACCCCTTTACCTCTCTGCATATTGTTATGATAGGATTTTCCCCTTCTGCTTTTTAAATGTATTACATAAATGTAACTGTACAAAAGAAACAGGAAAATTACTCACAGTCCAAGCAAATTAATATTTAACTGTTCTCAGGATTCCGGGTACCTTTCTAGTATGTGTATCTGTGAATACAGAGTTTGATGCACTTGTGATCTTTCCCAATGTAATTTTTCATTTGACATTGAAAAAATGTGTTAACACATCAGGGGGATCTGGGTGGTGCAGCTGGTTAAGCGTCTGATTCTTGATCTTGGATCAGGTCATGATCTCATGGTTTGTGAGTCTGAGCCCTTTGTCAAGCACTATGCTGATAGTGCAGATTCTGCTTGGGATTCTCTTTCTCCTTCTCTCTCCGCCCCTTCCCTGCTTGTATGTACTCTCTCTCAAATATATGATATGTAAAAAAATTTTTTTAGATAACATATCAAACATTTTTTTCAGTTTATTTATTTTGGGGGAGAGAGAGAGAGCACGTGAGCAAGGGTGAGGCAGAGAGAGAGAGAGAGAGAGAGAGAATCCCAAGCAAGCTTAACACTCAGCATGGAGCCCTATGCAGGGCTCGATATCACAACCATGAGAACCTGACCTGAGCCCAAATCAAGAGTTGGACACTTAACTGAGTGAGCCATCCAGGCCCCTCCAAACATTTTTTTTTTGAGAGAGGAGGTGCAGGTGAGCAAGGGACGGTGGGGGTGAGTGGGGAGAGAATCCCACAAGAAGCAGAGAGAAAGAGAAGCAGGGCTCACCTGAAGCTGGAAGTTGAACTCACAAACCGTGAGATCGTGACCTGAGCCAAAGTCAGATGGTTAACAACTGAGCCACCCAGGAGCCCTCCAAACGTGCCTAAAAAAAAAAAATCATATCAGTCTTTGCAATTATGAAGTGGCACTTGCTTTTATTTTAACTTCATGCACTTAGACAGCCCACCTCAGTAGGAATAAGTGATGATCCGATGTGAGGATGGGGAAGAGACCAAAGAAATTAAGAGTGCCAGCTAGGCCGTCCCCATTCTGTCAACCCCAAGCTTCTAACCGCCTCTGCTGTCACTCTTGCCATGGCGTATGTGTCTGGTGGCGTGCCCCATTCAGGGCTCCAGGGTCCCATTCAGTGCTGATCAAGTGTCAGAATGGAAAAACCAAAAAACCAAATGTTGTAACAAACACAACTGGATTGTGTATTTCATAATACACAAGGGGATATAACTCCCAAATGTACATTGATGTAAAAAAATTCCTAGTGGTGTAGGTAAGGTGCAAGTAGCAACACCTATCCGGGGAGTAAGCTAAGATTTGGCAGCGGAAGGGAGGAATTCACTTCACCCGGGAAGGGTGACAGAGCAGATCGCTGTTCTGTTTGAGTCCTGCCCATCCTCAAACCCACCAAATGGTTGAAAAGGAGACTTCATTTCAGTGGCTGTGTTAGGAATGGCCAGTGGCTGTGTGATAACCAGAGCTGGACTCTCCCGTCTGCCTTGAACTTGAGTTATCTTCCGTTTTCATCATGGCCCTTGCCAGGATTACTTCATTCTAGAGAACCAGTGTTATGACGACCGTTTACTGCTTAGCTATTGCAATCTTCATTTTACGAGAATAATTAAATAAATGTTGTCTTGATTGAGTGTTGTCTTCATTAAGTATGATGCAAGGAAGACACCTGAAAGCATTAAACTGTGTATTATGGTACTCTTAGCTTTCCAGTAACTTAATATGAAAAAGTTAATTTAAAAAAACATGGTTTGGGGGCTCCCGGGTGGCTCAGTTGGTCAAGCATCAGCCTCTTGATTTTGGCCCAGATCATGATCTCCCGGTTCGTGGGTTCAGGCCCCATACTGCCAGCGTGGAGCCTGCTTGGGATTCTCTCTCTCCCTTTCTCTCTGCCACTCCCCTACTTGCTCTCTAAATAAATAAATAAATAAATACACTTAAAAAAAAACATAGTTTTTCGGTATGTTAGTATGACATCTTAAGCTTTATTATGTCAAAGTTTTAAAAGCACTCAACTGATAGACACAGTTCTGAATGCCGTTGGCCTTCAGGTCATCACCTCCTATTTCAGCATGTTCATATCTGCAGGTGTTCCTCAGTAGCAGCCCTGGCAGTGGACTCAGAGCTACAGCATCGGGTTCTGCTTCTGTCCTAATTCCGCTGCCACTCCGGCGGTGGGGGGGGGAGTCCCCGGGGGGGCGTTCCCCCGCTGCTTCCTACCTTGTGGAGGCCTAGGGATTGGGGGCACCTTCTGGGGTCCTTTATTACTGGGGACCTTCAACCCAAGGCACAGAGTTGAAGTTCCAGCAGTCAGCCTTGGTTCGTCAAATGGCCTTTGAGTTTGGAAAATAGGTCCAGAACTTTCACTTGCACTTTAGCCTCTGAGGTGGGTTTCATTTGTAGAGCCATATAAGAGATTGATGTCCAGGTTTGCACCCCTAGAATTTTGTTAACATTGTCTACAATGTAGTATAGATGAAAATAGAAAATAATTCCTTCCCTTACGTTTCCTGCTATAAATACTCGAAATTCTGTGTCATTTCCATATTATGTAAATCTCTTTGGCATTTAAAATCGTACCATAGATAACGTGTAATGCTTCCTGATCCCATTTGTTCTTCTTTCTCTGAATACAAATAAGCACACCATTTCCGCTTGTGTTAAAAGCAGTTATGTCATTGGACTAGATTAGTCCTTCCTTGGTATTATCTGTGTCTTGTGACTTCTTAATCAAATTTGTACTCATACACAAGATGTTGATGAACTTTTTTTTAAAAAAAAAAAAGTTTTTCGAGGGGCACTTGGGTGGCTCAGTTGGTTAAGCATCTGATTTAGGTTCAAGTCATGAATTCACAGTTTGTGAGTTCAAGCCTCACATCAGGCTCCGTGCTCAGTGTGGAGCCCACTTGAGATTCGGTCTCTGTCTGTCATGGGGCACCTGGGTGGCTCAGTCGGTTAAGTGTCCAGCTTTGGCTCAGGTCACGAACTCATGGTTCATGAGTTTGAGCTCCACATCAGGCTCCGTGCTGACAGCTCGGAGCCCAGAGCCTGCTTAGGATTCTGTGTCTCCCTCTCTCTCTGTTCCTCCTCCACTTGCACTCTCTCTCTCAAAAATAAAGACTTTAAAAAAGTTTTAAAAAGCCCACGTTAATCAAGAAATGCACAGTGAACTTGCATTTTGTCAAAAGGCTGTTGTTTCGTTGCCAAGGTTACAGTTCAGATGCATTAAGTTGCAGGTTACAGAAAACCCAATTCAAGATGACTTGTGTGAAGGGTATTTATCGGCTTGTGTAATTGGAAGGCCAGCTTAGCTACGGGCTATGCTCCAGGGCTGGCTGATTGAGCAACTCCACCGAGCCACTAAGAATTTGCTTTCCTTCTTTCTGCTGTGTTCTCACCTTCCTCTTGGGATGACAAGAGGTTGTAGCCATTTGCAGACTTCTGTGGCCCCTTCCTCATATTTTAGAAACTCACCAGATCTCTCCTGGTGTTCTGTTGACCTCAGTTGAGGGGCGTGCCCAGGCCTTGAACCAGCAACTGCGGCTGGGATGAAATTAAGTGGAGGAGCTCGGGCTTGGAGTCAGTTTCCCCCAAAGTCTAGGGCTGTGAGAGGAGGTACAGAACCCCCAGTCAGACCCAGTTAGGTTTCTAGAGTCGGGGTGGAAGGGCAGTAGCCGTTCTGTTCACTGTCTGACATGAGGTTGAAGTCACTTGGGTTTCATTGATAAAAGTGCTTGCATTGGGGCGCCTGGGTGGCTTAGTCGGTTGAGCGTCCGACTTTCGCTTAGGTCATGATTTCGCGGTTCGTGGGTTCGAGCCCCGCGTCGGGCTCTGTGCTGACTGCCAGCTCAGAGCCTGGAGCCTGTTTCAGTCTGTGACTCCCTCTCTCTCTGACCCTCCCCTGCTCACGCTGTCTCTCTCTCTCTCCTAGAAATAAATAAAACATTAAAAAAAAAATTAAAAAAAAAAAAAGTGCTTGCATTGTTTCATTCATGTCTTCTTCTTCTGTCCTCAGGGGCCGTGACAACAGCCAAACGGACAGGCATCCCAGCTCCTCGAGAACTTTCAGTCACCATCTCCAGGGAGAGAACTGTGCCGCGCGGCCCCTCCAACCCCAGGAAGTCGGTGTCCAGCCCCACGTCTTCCAGCACCCCCACCCCGACGAAGCCCCTGAGGGCCACGTCGGCAAGACCCAAGCCCGAGAATGAAGGCGGGGAAAAGGCGGTGCTCGAGGCCCAGGTTCGGGAACTCCTGGCCGAGGCCAAAGCGAAAGACAGCGAAATCAACAGGCTCCGAAGCGAACTGAAGAAGTGCAAGGAGAAGAAGGCTCCGAGCGCTGGAGGAAGTGACCCTCCCGACGCAGATGCCACTGGAACGCCCGTCTCCCCCAGTGACTCAGAGCCCTTGGTAAGAGCTCTCGAGGAGAAGAACAGGAATTTTCAGAAGGAGCTCGCCGATCTGGAGGAGGAAAACCGGGCCTTGAGGGAGAAACTGACTTATCTGGAACATTCCCCAAATTCAGAGGGAGGCGCCAGTCCCGCCGGGGAGAGCAGCTGCCCCACGTCCTTAACCCAGGAGTCCAGCTTCGGAAGCCCGCCCGGCAATCAGCTGCCGGGCGGAATCGACGCGTATCGGCTCCCCGTCCACGAGAATGCACTGCGGCCGTCAGGCTCTTCCAGCAGCGACGTCACCAAAGCTTCCTTGTCCCCGGATGCCTCGGATTTCGAGCACATCACGGCGGACACGCCCTCCAGGCCCCTGTCCTCCACCAGCAACCCCTTTAAGGGCTCCAAGTGCTCGACCACAGGCAGCTCCCCCAACAACGCGAGCGAGCTGTCCCTGGCTTCGCTCACGGAGAAGATCCAGAAGATGGAGGAAAACCACCACAGCACGGCCGAGGAGCTCCAGGCGACTTTGCAGGAACTGTCAGACCAGCAGCAGATGGTGCAGGAGCTGACGGCCGAAAACGAGAAACTGGTGGACGAGAAGACGATTCTAGAGACTTCCTTCCACCAGCATCGGGAGAGGGCCGAGCAGCTGAGTCAGGAGAACGAGAAGCTGATAACCCTCCTGCAGGAGCGAGTGAAGAGCCAGGAGCCCGCCGTTCACGAAGGGAAAATCCTGGAGCTGGAGCAGAAGTGCGCGGAAGTGCTTGACCAGGGCCGCTTCGAAAGAGAGAAGCTGCTTAACATCCAGCAGCAGCTGAGCTGCAGCCTCCGGAAGGTGGAGGAAGAGAACCAAGGAGCCCTGGAAGTGATTAAACACCTCAAGGAAGAAAACGAAAAGCTGAACGGGGCTCTGGAGCTGGAACGGCGTAATCACGGTGCGATGGCCCAAACCCTGGAAGAGTGCAAAGCGACTCTGGAACGGCTGCAGGTTGAAAATGGGTCTTTGAAGGCACATTTGGAGAGTGAGAAGCAGAAAGCGATGGAGACCAGTCCCGTGGGGCAGACGGCAGAGGCGCGTGAAGTTCAAGAGCTGTTGCGAGTCGCTCGAGCCGAGAAGGATCAGCTGGAACTGTCTTGCACCGAGCTCAAGCAAGAATTGCTAAAGGCCCATGGTGAAGTTAAACATGTTTCGAGCCGACTGGCCAAGGTAAGGAGAGAGCCCTTTCCCGTATTTGCTCATCCTTCTCAGCATATTCGCCTCCTTGACCTTGAGATTCACAGAGCAGAGAGACTCCTTGGTTCAGCCAATGCCATTCATGAATCCAGCTTTCTAGCTTGGAGATCCGTTCCTTTGCAGACAGATTGGGGATACAAAAGTGAAACCGCTCCCTTTCTGCGTATAGGTTCAAAGTGTAGCAGGGAGACAGTGCATCAGATCAGTGTGTGCAATACAGGGATAAAGAAGATCTCAGAGGACAGCTCAGAGTCCAGTTCCAAGGAGAAACACCTAGGATAATATGGGAGAAAGGAAGGTAGTACTGGAGGGCTTCCTGAAAGAGGTGGCAAGTAAGCTGAATCTTACTGGCTCAGACTGAGACGGGGTTATCCAGGCTTATCAGTTAACATGCGTTAGGCTGCTACTAACCGGAGATTAAAATCATCCCTGATTACCATCCCCAGTAATAATACAACCGCTGTTTTGGTGTTTCCTTTCAGAGGTGTGTGTGTGTGTGTGTGTGTGTGTGTGCGCGTCTCACAAAGTAAAAAAAGTTTTTTTAGACTCATCCTGTACATATTCATTTTTAATTTAATTTTTTAAAGTTTATTTTTATTTATTTTTTTGAGAAAGAGAGAGGAAGCAGGGAAGGGGCAGAGAGAGAGGGAGGGAGACAGAATCCCAAGGAGGCTCCATTTCCCCAGCACAGAGCCTGATGCGGGGCTCGAACTCACGAACCGTGAGATCAAGACCTGAGCCAAAATCAAGAGTTGGACGCTTAACTGACTGAGCCAGCCAGGCTCCCCTTTTAATTTAATATTTTGTGAGCATGTTCTCATCATTATTCTTTGAAACATGATATTAAGGCCAGGCTGTATCCTGTTGTATAAATATCGCATTCATACTTTACCGGTCACCTGTTCGTTGAACGTTTATGCTCCCTTCCAATCTTTTGATACTGTAAATACATTTTTATAAATATCTGTCCGGTTATTTCCTCAGGAAAAATTCCTAAACGCTGACTGACTGTGTCAGAGTGTGGCCATTTTAGGGCACTCAGTACTTTCAGCCGGTTTGCTCCCCAGAAGTGTTACACAGGCTTGTTCCCACCAGCAGGTCCCCGAGAGTGCCTGTTAGCCTGAACCCTTGCCCGGTGCTTGGTGTCCATTTGCTGGCTTGTCCAGATCTCTTTTCCTCCCCTTCTTCACTGGGAAAGATCTTACCCATCCCACGACCAAATAAATGGTCACTCTTTCATTTTTAACAATAATCCTTTCATCAGTCTAGAACTTTGTTATGTATAAAATTGCTGGTAATTCTATAGCATTCCACCCGCTCACAGAGCAGTGCAGGAAAGGCGTAGACAGGTGGCTTCCCACTTCCTGTGTCCTCCAAGCTCTGGATCTGTGATGTTAGGGGTCTGGTGGTGAGAGAGGTTGAAATCACGTCCCACCTTAGTTAGTGCACGGCCATCACTGTTTTAAGAAACAAGTTGTAGGCACCTGGGTGGCTCAGTCAGTTAAGCGTCTGACTCTTGATTTCAGCTCAGGACCTGATCTCACAATCATGAGGATGGAGCCTGCTTGGGATTTGCTCTCTCCCTCTCCCTCTGCCCCTTCACCCCCACGAGCTCTCTCTCCCTCAAAATAAATAAACATTAAAAAACCCCCAAAAAGTTGTGCCGTGAGCTCACAGGGGTGTTTTTCTCTATTGCTTCATTTCTCTTAAGATTAGTCTGTTGCAGGGCACCTGGGTGGCTCACTTGTTGGTTGAGTGTACAACTACAGCTCAGGTCACCATCTCATAGTTCTTGAGTTCGAGCCCCATGTTGGGCTCTGTGCTGACAGCTCAGAGCCTGGAGCCTGCTTCGGATTCTGTGTGTGTCTCTCTCTCTGACCCTCTCGTTTTTTTTAATACACATTAAAAAAAAATGAAAACCAGATTAGTTTGTTGCAACTTGGTTCTGGCTCTGGTTGTCTGATAATCTGAGTGGTAGGTAGTGTTAGTTTTGTTTGTCTTTTTATCATTGTCAGTGTTCTAAATTTATAGCATTTTGTTGAAAGTATGGAAGCAATTCCATTAGAAGGTACTCCCCAAGTACCCATTTGAACTTTAAGTTGGTAATTGTAGCTTTACGTTACCTTTCAGGGTCTGTAAATCACTTCCCCTCCATCACTCTGTTGCAAAATGCATCATCTCCCAGGTGGCCTTCTTGAAATGGCCCCCAGTCCTTCGCCCATCTCTTTGGTGTTTCGATTGACATTACATTAAATACATGTGTCACCAAGAAATAATTTGGTATCTCAAAACACTAGCTTAACTTTTTCTGACCTTGAAATTATGTATTCGTTACGGAAGGTTTAGAAAATATGGAAATGTATAAAGAGAAAAATTAATATTACCTTCAACCCGTCACTTGGAGAAAACCACTGTCAACAATTTGCTGTACGTCTTTTTGGATGTTTCCCCGGTTTGTGCACATTTGGATGTGCATACAAACCTGTATCAGCAGAAATAAAATACTTCATCTTCTTATTCAGAAGGTTAGAGTATATCCCTCCACATTCCTTGAATCCTTGAATACAAAGACCATCTAGATTCTTTTACTGGGTCTACATTAATTTATTTGATTAATTTGTTTTTGCTTTTATCTTTATTAATCCTTTTATCCGGCTCGTCTGTCTTTCCTTGGTTTCCTCTTAGTGTTTTGAGTAAAATTCTGTGTTTAAGTCTGTCATTTCTTGGTTAATAATGAAACCATTTAAAGGCATGAATTTGCCCTTTATTACAGCTTTGGCTCCACGAGGACAATAAAATTTAGAATTTTCTGGAACAAACTAAGTCTACCTTGGAGAGAAAGAAAGAATGTTTGCATTCTCTATGGGGTACAAGTTTCAGCATATATATTTTAAATCAACTGTTAATTATGTTATTCACATATTCCCTTTATATTACTTGCTGATTAGAATTTTCAAAAGTTTGGGGCGCCTGGGTGGCTTAGTCGGTTAAGCGTCCGACTTTCACTTAGGTCATGATCTCGCGGTTCGTGGGTTCGAGCCCCGCATCGGGCTCTGTGCTGACTGCCAGCTCGGAGCCTGGAGCCTGTTTCAGTCTGTGACTCCCTCTCTCTCAGACCCTCCCCTGCTCACGCTGTCTCTCTCTGTCTCTCTCCTAGAAATAAATAAAAATATTTAAAAAAAAAAAAAAAAGAATTTTCAAAAGTTTGTCAGTGGGATGGAAGAGACTCTAGCTGGTAGTTTGAGGTAAGAGTCTGTGTGAAGCACCAGGTCACCTAGAGTTGCTTTTATACGTCTCAAGGCCCTGTGATTTTGTGCTGCATTAGTGCACGGGGGCTTTGACCTATAATCGCAGTGGACTTGTCCCCTGTGCTTTCTGTTACCTTTGAAAAGGTAAAACCCAGACTTCCTGGGCTGACTGAAAGCTTATTGTAACCTCAATGCAGAATATAAACTGACCTACCAGCAACCGTGAATATAAGTGATAAGTTGTAAGGGACTCACGCCCGAAGGACAGAGGAGCACTTTCAGTACAAACCTAGAATGCTATGAAGTGATGGGTTAGTAGGTGGAAAGCTTGGGTCCTCCTGACTTAGCTGATGGTTAATTCTGTGACCTTGGGCAGCCCCCTCTTCACTGTACAGTGAAGACTGGAAGCGTGTGGTTGGTGCGGGGGCTGAGCGGGGCATCTTGGCTTTGTTCCTGTTTTAAAGGGAGTGTCTTCAGCATTTTGTTATCAGGGATGTCTATTGTAAGGCACTTGTGTACCTTTTCTTGAATCATACAAGTATTTTGCTAAGAACAGTTTTGCTTGCTTGTTTTTTTTTCTTTTTTTAAAGGACGGAGATTGAATTTTTCTACATCTATGTAGGTCTTAAACATCTCTCTGATCTGATCCTAGGGTAGTTTTTATATAATCATGATGGTTTCTCTCTTCTAACTTGTTAACAAGGTGAATTAAAACAACAGATTTTCTTTTTTAAAAAACAATTGTTTTAAACATTTATTCATTAAAAAAATTTTTTTTACTGTTTATTTTTGAGACACAGAGAAAGACAGAGTGCAAGCAGGGGAGGGGCAGAGAGAGAGGGAGAAACAGAATCTGAAACAGGCTCCAGGCTCCGAGCTGTCGGCACAGAGCCCAATGTGGGGCTCGAACCCAGGCATCACAAGATCATGACCTGAGCCAAAGTCGGAGGCCTAACCCACTGAGCCACCCAGGCGCCCCAACATTTAGTCATTTATAAGAGTGAGAGAGACAGAGCATGAGTGGGGGAGGGGCAGAGAGAGAGAGAGGGAGACACAGAGTCCAAAACAGGCTCCAGGCTCTGAGCCGTCAGCACAGAGCCCCACGCAGGGCTCAAACTCACAGACCGCAAGATCATAACCTGAGCTGAGGTCGGACACTTAACTGACTGAGCCACCCAGGTGCCCCAGAATGACAGATTTTCTGAGGCAGTCCAATGTTAAGGCATCTTTGCATTCCTGGAGTAAATTCTTTTTTTTTTTTTAAAGTTTTTTTTTTTAATGTTTTATTTATTTCTAGGAGAGAGAGAGAGAGACAGCCTGAGCAGGGGAGGGGCAGAGAGAGAGGGAGTGACAGACTCTGAAACAGGCTCCAGGCTCTGAGCTGGCAGTCAGCACAGAGCCCGACACGGGGCTCGAACCCACGAACTGCGAGATCATGACCCAACCGAAAGTCCGATGCTTAACTGACTAAGCCACCCAGGCGCCCCATTCCTGGAGTAAATTCTAATTGTTCAGTCTTCTGTCACTTTCCTGGACACTTTTTGCTAGAACTTTCACATTTCCCCACCTTCAGCCAATGTCCGAGTGAGTGTCCTATTAATCACTAAGCAGTTTTCTTGGTGATGAACAACTTCTACCCTGAGCTCTGCATTCATCCATTCAAATTCATGGCAGAAGGCAACTGTTATGAGAAAGGAACAAAATTACCTGTTTACTAAAGAGAGG